CCGGAATCCTAACAGATATGTTAACTTCTTTTCCCTGACCTACAGGGTCAATTGATCAAACTGGTCAACGCATCACATTATTGTAAAGTTTGAAGATAATGAAGGCTGAAACGCTCCCTGTAGTGAATATTCACTCCACTTTGTCTTTTTGTTAAAATATAAGCCGAAGATTCTAATTACATAAGAAGATATAAATATGTAATTTTTCAACAAGATAAGAATGCCTTAAGTTTTCAAAGAAAACAATGTCAGAATGGCAATTTCTTGCGAGACAATTTTCGTAATAATTAAATTTTTCTTGTGGGGAATTTTTTGGTTTTTCGGATTTCTGTTTGTTTTGTGAACTTGTTTTTGGGTTTTCTATATTATAGATTATTCTTATCTGGTTCCTGGATCTGGTCGTAAACTGCCGGGATCGTTCGCTTTTCCGCATGTGAGAGGTTTTGAGGGCCAGGGAAAACCTTCCTCCAATTCCCTGGTCCTGACCAGATAGAGTTTACCCGATTCGAAATGTCCCAGTTTACATTTTATCTCCCTTGGATTTATTTATTCTCTTCCTGCATGTTCAGCGCATTACAGGTTATGGGGAGTGGAGATGTTACCCAACCTGTAAAAATGCAAGAGACAAAATTCAGCTTTCCACTCTTTATTAAAGTAAACAATCTATTTCTAATATTTATAATTTCAATAAATAATAAATAATAATAACAATAAATAATTTTACAAAATATACTAAACCTTATTAGAAATATAACTACTTAAAATATAAAAAACTTTACTTGTAAATAAAATAAGCCATGTGAACATTTAAATAATGTTAACCAAAACGCGCGCAAGTCTACAAAATAATCTTACCTGTAAAAATGCAACCAGAAAGAGACAAAATTCAGCTTTCCACTGCCGAATTGTCCAACTGAGCTACATTTATACTCCCTTACATGTCCTGCATATTTTAATGTTTCTTTAATTACTTTTATCCTTAGAGCTCGCGTTCGTTATCTTTGTCCGACTAAATGATTTATCTCTGGGAACCGTCCAGATTAAAATTAAGCTCCCATCGGTCTGCATCTTTAATTTCTTTTAACCAAATCCATCTTTTTATATACCAGTAAGTAGATATATTTTATCCTCAGCGCTCGTATCTGCTATCTCTCCAAGCCGATTAGTGTAAATCCATAAAATACATTAGAATTTCATTTTTACTGCAAAATTTGTTATGATAAATTCCCCCCACTAACAAAAATCTTGTCCTCAAGATTTGTTTAATATGGTTTTCAAAGACTTTTACCTAATTTTGCTTCATTTTCAGATGGCTTAAACACACTAAAATATTCAATATATAATTAAATATGCACAAGAAGACTATGTCTAATACACAATAAGATAATATATATGAAATAAAAAAAATCACGATCTACAAAATTTAGTTGTACATCAAGATCGAATTATGCACAGCTGCCTAGGCATTTTACCTGGGTGGAGTCGGCAACACTCCTTAAAATAGGTAACAATAATATACAGCGAAAAGACATCCACTAAACAATCATAAATTAAAAAAAACACTCGAAATTTCAATAAGTACACTTAAGCTTGTACCCTATTTGCTTAACCCAGAAAAAGAAATAGCAACAAGAATAACCTTCTGCGACTTTTTCACAAATGAGTTGTCATTGTTCTGCAAGATATACACACTCTTTAAAAAAAAATATTATTACTGTACATATACATGTAAAATCAATACTCAATCCAAGGCACTAAATTGTGTTCTTAAAAAAAATTTAAAAAAATCGTCAAACAACTTTGTTAAATCCTTAAGAGGCCGTGTCAGTATCCATTGAGATTTACATGGAAAGTCAAAAATTTTGAATTGGGCAAAAACCACCCTAAAATATTTGAACAACAATAAAAAACACATTTAAGACAAATTTTACAAATTTATTCATCATCATTGGTTTCCATGGCAACAAATGTGATTTGCATAGTAAATTCTCAATGAAACATTGTAAAATAATACAAATTTAGACATATTTAAATGCAGAGGGGGGAACAATTGGAAGGTCTAAATTTGTTTTCTTATACTGAAATAATGAAAGATGCATCAGAAGAAAATATCTTTATGTCTGTAAGTATTTTTAAAAATTTTGATATGGTTGCTATGGCAACCGAAAAATGACAAGGTTTTCATGATGGGAATATCCGTGGAAAATTAAGTTTTTCAAAAGTTGAATACTTAAAAACGCAACAACCGTAGATATTGTTTGTCATACAAAGTTAAAGATATATCCCAATACTATGAAATAATAAAATAAAAATTGGTAGTCGGATGTCCCAATTTTTTTTTTCAGAAATCAAAATTTGCATTTTTTTCAAAACACTTTCAATGGATTTTCGCAAGTTTTGGCAATTTTTTTTTAAATATTACAACAGATATTTAACAGTTAGATGCCATATCTAAAGAAACATAGTACTTTAGAAAAATCTCCATAAAATGTACGACTTTTTTACAAAACAATAGGAAAAGAAATCTCCATAGCAACAGAATTTATACCCTAGCAACCGACTTGACTAGGATCGGCAAAACATGAAACATACACCCAGGAAATTAAAGCCTCCCAAGTGGAATATTTGGGTCATGGCATCCTGATCAACTGTCAACCCTGTTGTACTTACCCCATCATATAAGTAATAATAAGTACCATTGCTCTACAATGTCTAATAGTTATACAATATAGTCAGAATGTGGACCAAATACGCAAAAACTTGACCATATATGACATAACAAAAGCCGAAGTTATATGTCAAAATGACGCAATGTTCAACCCAAAGGGACTCCAATGCTCTGTCTACTGGCTAATTTACATTGCTGTACCATGTTTATTATTCAAGTTATAAACCTAAAAATAACTAGAACTGTCCAAATGGGACAAAATACCCCCCGCTGGGTTTTTCAGAAGTGCTAAATCATGAATATTTTATGGATCTAAGAGAAGAGAGAAAAGCTAAAACATTTTAGTGCAAATGTAATTGCTCATTAATTTTTTTTATAAATGAAACGAAGGTGCAGCCTAAAAAATAGACTGAATGTATGGATCACACATGAATGATGAATTTTTTTTGTCAGTGACCTTGAACTTGCATAAATGACCTTGGTTTAAAGTCATGACAAGTTCTCAGGTCAAAGCAATGTTTGTGTAAAATGGGAACCTTCCAAGTTTATCCATAAGAAAGATATGGACCAGACATGAATTGTAATTTTTTTACTGTCTGTGCCCTTGAACTTGGACAATTGACCTTGGGTCAAAGTCATGACACACCCTTATGTCATAAGTAATCTTTGTGTAAACAAGAAAGTATCCATGGCAAGTTTATCAATAAGAATGATATGGACCAGGCACAAATTATGAAGTTTTTCCTTTCAGTGACATTAAACTTACACAAAGAACCTTGGGTCAAAGTCATGACACATCCTCAAGACAATAAGCGATTTTTGTGTAAAACAGGAACTTAACAAGTTTTTCCATAAGATAGATATGTACAAAACATGAATTATGAACTTGTTGCTTTTATAACCTTGAACTTGCATAGATAACCTTGCATCACCCTTCGGTTATAAGGAGTCTTTGTGTGAAATAGGAACTAACCAGTTTATCCATAAGCAATATATGGACCATGCACATATTAAGAAATTTTCCTTTCAGTGACCTTGAACTTAAATAACCTTTGCTGAAGGTCATATCACACCAGGTCATAAACCCTCTTTGTGTGAAGTAGTAGATTCAAGTTTATCCAAAATAAAGATATGTACCAAACATGAATTTTACAATTTTTCTTTTAGTGACCTTGAAAATGCACAGATGACCTTGGGTCAAGGTCATGACACACCCTTAGGTCATGAGGAATCTTTTTGTAAAATGGGAACTTACCAATTTAATCCATAAGAAAGATATGGAACGGACACAAATGATGAAATTTTTCTTCCAGTGACCTTGAACTTCCCCAAATGACCTTGAGTCAAGGTCATGACACACTCTTAGGTCATGAGCAATCTTTGTATGGAGTAGTAGATTCTAATGTTCCTCCGTAAGAAAGATATGGACAGTACATGTTTGCACAGCTAGAGAGACGGACGGACGGATAGACAGACAGACGGACAAGCTGATTCCTATATACACCCCCCCAAACTTCGTTTACAGGGGGTATAATGAGAAGTCGTGTCTGTTAAACACAAGACGACCTTATACTTATTCAAATGAAAATAAACCTTAACATCAGCAAGGCTTGCGAAAATGTAGTTTACAGCAAATTTATATTTCAAGTTTTATCTTATTTTACTATCAAAGACCAATTAACTGGTCAAATATCAATGCTCACTAAAAGTATCACAGATATGAACGTAAAACAAGAGTTTTCCATTGAAAATGTGTGTCTCAGGAATGACATATCAAATTGTGACAGACAGATAGACTGATGGTCAGCTAGTCAGACAATGGAGAAGTGATCCCTTAGAGTCCCCTTGCTATGCAGGCGACACAACTAGGCACCATTACAGCATATCTTGTACCTGATTCTGAGACTGAATTTTTTCTGAAGTGTACAGTCAAATATTTTACAGAAATATTTTGCTAGAAATAATAATATATCGTATAAGTGGAAATTTTAGCGAGATGCAAATTTAGCGATTTCTACCAAAGTTTGGTATTTTATTTTCAGCCAGAAGTAATTTTAGCGAATTTAAAATCTTTACTAAAGAAGCTATAACAAGTAATAAGACATTAATTTTTAGCAATATTCAATTTTAGCGATGTCAGCACCCTCTCTAATAATGCCAAAATTAAATCCTCGCTAAAAATTCTACTTATACAGTATGTTCTTCAAAGTACATTTATGCACAGTAAACAAGAAGTATGACACATTTGATTTTAGATATTATCTATTTTAACCAACTAGAGCTAGAGCAGTATAATCCAAGTGAAGTCCACAGACAGATGGACAAACAAAGAGGGTGATTCCTATATCCCCCTTCCAAAAACTTTGATATCAAAATCTTAAACTTAGTAAGAAAATGTTTTTTAGTTCACTGCTTTAAGAGCCCTATCAGAAATCTGATTCAAATTGTTCATGTTCCCTTCAGCTGTCAAGTCATTTTCTTCACAGTCAGTGTTAGACCTCTGCCTTTTCACCAATGGCATCAAGATACATAATCAAGGTCTTCCTTCTATGTAATGGACTATCTTCATGCTCTTGAGAATCCTGGCATTCAGATGACTTTCACAAGGTGTTTGGAAAAGTTGTCATCTGAAGTTGATTCCACCTACAAAAGAAAGATACAAAATCAATCCAACTAACAACTTCATTTTAAACAAGTTCATTTTGACACAAATGTTACTCATGCTGAGACAGTGTTTCACAGTCCTGAGCCAAAGTCACACCTTCAATGTCAAGGTAAAATTTGATGGAGTTTTCAGGTCTGTATTTCTATATGCCTCATGGAACAGCTTCATACTTGGCATACAATGCTCCTAATGATAAGGTGGTGTGCCATAACCCTAACTCAATGTCAAACTTCAATGCTAAGGTCACAGTAGACTTCAATGAAATTGTCTTATCTGAAATGCATTTCATACCTGCCTCAAAAGCACAGCTTACATGACACAAATTAATGTGCCTCATGATATCAGTCTTTAACAACCTTTGACAGAAGACCAGGTGAGCAATATGGGCCCATTTTAGGCTTCTTGTCTGGGTTTAAAATATAAAGTTCATAGGTCAAATGGATTTAAGTTATTGAGTCACAATCCTTTCAAGTTTGAAGTTTCCAGGACATATAGCATTTGAGTTATCTCTCGACAAAGAAATGGATGAACAAAGTGATTACCGGTACTCTTTGAGGCTGTGCTCTTATGAACAAGCTGATGCTCAAAGTAGTTCTAAACAATTCAGTACATGTAAAAAATTCAGTACAAACCTCTATTTGTTCCATATGCTTTGAATCTGGTTGTACTTCATGGTTATTTGGTAGTTCACATAGCAACTCATCATCATCATGATTCTCCTGAAAGTATTTCATATCTGTTTACAAATTTACATGACCCTACTGCATATAGTTGCTGATTTTTTATAATAAACAAGCTGATGCTAAAAGTAATTTAAAGCAAGATAAATTTGTGAAACAGTATGCCCCCAGCGTCAACAAATATAGAAAAGGTAGTTTTAGCAAAAAAATCAAGGTCTAAAGGTTACTGACGTTGGTGTAATTTAAAAGAATTTAATTAGTGGATCATGTATACCAAATATGATCTCACAGTTCAAAAGTCATGGTAAAGGTTAAAGCTGACAACAGATAGACAGAAAGGACAAACAAAAATATGTTCATGCTCTTTGGGCATAATAATTCAGTACATGTAAAAATTTCAATACATGTACAAACCTTTATTTGTTCCACATTAATTGGATCTGCTTGTACTTCATGGTTATTTGGTAGTTCACATTGCAACTGATTATCATCATGATTCTCCTGAAAATATTTTAGACCTGTTTACAAACTTACTTGAGCCTATAGCATATATAGTGACTGGGATATGATATAAGACATTAAACTGGACAAAGGGGATACTCCAATTTAGTCTCACATTTTCAGAATTATCGTATTCAGAAATTGTGCCCAACCTGATCAAGGGCTTAGGAGGAATAGCACCCCACCCACTCCTTACTTTTTTGGGAAGTCAAAATTTCCTGTAGTTAAAATTTATAAATCCTGGTTTCCCTCCCCTCCACTTTAAGGGTCAGGAGCAAATTTTGAAACCAGAGTTGAGTCTGTTATCCTAGTTTCCCTTCCCCTTTTCAAATCAATATTAGCAACCTCAAGTTTTGTCATCTTGTTTTAGTGTAGCTGCAGAAGTGTAGCTCTCCGAAAAAATATATATTGATAGACCTGAGATAATGAGGTATAGCGGGTATGGCTATGAATTTTATGAAATATTGTTTGAAACATTACTTATCAAAAGAACACTAATATGCAGACATACACGAGTGGAAATCTACCAATTTGACCTTATCAGTGATTGATGAATATGCTCTAAATAATAAAGTCTGAAATATCTGGCATTTTTCAGTTTGTTTTTTTTAATATTTTCTGTGCCAGGAAAACGTCAGAACCAGCGCCATTACGAAAACTGGAAATTTTGCCATTTCCAGTCAGAGTTGATTTCCCATACCTGGGAACCGCATGAAATACCGTTGTCACAATTTATCAATGGCACAATGCTTTTAGTACTTGACAATATCAATGAAAAGAAAATAATCACTCATCATTTCGATACAGGACTTGTATATTTTTTTTAATTTGTAAACGCACGAAATGAAAACAAATCTCGACAGTCAGAGAAAATGTTTCCATCGGATCATATATTTACAAACAAACCATAAAACTATATTGGTAAGTACTAGAGGCATTGTACTATTGATAAATTGTGAGTTTGACAAGTAATTGCAAGTATCGAAAATACACCCGAGAATCCCGCCTCTGCTTGGAATTCCCAGTTTTCGTAAAGGCGCCGGTTCTGGCGTTTTCCTCGCACGTAAAATATAGAAATAGTTAAACAGCCAGGAAAACGTCAGATATTTCGGACTATAAATAGTACTTTTCAGTCACCTACAAACTCTTGATGCTGTCATGTCCTCTGTAACCGCACAAGACCTGCTTTAAACATCGTTACATGGTGTTTTTCTTCTCCGACTTCTGCTGCAACAGCAACTTTCTGTTCTTTATCAGCAGGAGAGTTCCACAAAAGGGAGATAATCGTTCACGCGTTTTCATATTTGTTGTACATTCTAAATCAAATTATTTGCTATAGAGTACCCAACTACCATTTTTTATTATTGGATTTATAACTTCAAAGCTCGTAGTTTCTATTGCATGTATGATTATGATAGAGTTTGGTTGCGTTTTCTTGTAAAATATTTATAAAAATCATGTTGATTTTACAGCATTTGGTAGAAACAAAGCAAAGTAGGCCCCGATGCTTTAAAATAAACATATGAAAAATTAAATCTCCCATATATATTGAAATTAAGAAAAACATAGTTTGATTCTGTAATTAATTTTGACAGGGTTATCAATAATCAAATTTCACACTTTTCAAGCATTAAAATCACCGTTGCTATGGTAACAAGGAAGATGTGACCCAAATAACTCATGTTTGAAAGGACATTCATCTATACTTCCATGCACCCAAATATTAAAGCAAAATATTTTTTTTTTCACATTCCACTCACTTTATATACAATACTCAATGGTTACTGACACGGCCTCTTAAATGTTCAAAGAACTCATAAAACATAAAACATTTTTCAACAGCAACAAAAAATTGAAGTCATCATTGAGAAAAAAAATATAATCAATAAAAATATACATTATCAATCAAATATATTGGGCATAAAGGAGAGAAAAAATAGAACGGCGCTTGACAAAAATTCTGGCATGATTTCACACAATTTGTTTTTCTTATAAACAAATTTTATTTTATGACGAAGAAAATATCTTCAATAAAATTGTCTTAGAAAAATTTTCAGAACCTTTTTTTTTCATTATCATAAACGGGTTGTCAGCAGAGGAATTTCTATATAATTGACTGTAATTTACAAAATGTTATTTGTAGCATAACATGAGCGTACCACCCATGTAATGAGTTTGATATTTAAATGCCTGTGTACAGTTGGTTGTCAGAGGTAAAGTTAGTAATACAAGTGTGCTAACACTACTGTAATTATTCCATGCACTAAGAGTCAATCAGAATCTATGCTTGTAAATATTAATTCTGACGTTTGACCGAAGGTAGTTGTTACTTTATTGACACCAAACACCTGCAAAACACCGATAGAATTTAATGTATACGGTGCAACCGTGAAAACGGTTTTCTTGTCCATTCAGTTTTTATTTTTCTTAATTATCCGATCATTGACATGTATAACAAAAATAAATTCACTCAGTTCAGAATTTAATTGTTTCATAGTTT